AGCTTGTTCCTCTTCCTCGGGTAAATCGACTGTTAGTTGTCGTTGGGTATATGCAGACAAAGTTGGTCCAGATGGCCAGGTTGATCGACTTAAGGCTCGTCTTGTTGCCAAAGGGTATACTCAGATATTTGGACTCGATTACAGGGATACTTTCTTTCCCATGGCTAAAATTGCATCAGTCCGCCTTTTTCTATCCATGGATGTTGTTCGCCATTGGCCTCTCTATCAGTTGGACATTAAGAATGCTATTCTTCACGGTGACCTTGAGGATGAGGTTTATATGGAGCAACCACCTGGTTTTATTGCTCAGGGGGAGTCTAGCGGCCTCGTATGTCGGTTGCGCTGGTCCCTCTATGGTCTAAAGCAGTCTCCTCGAGCCTGGTTTGGTAAATTCACCACAATTATTCAGGAGTTTGGCATGATTCGTAGTGAAGCTAATCACTCTGTAGTTTATCGACATTCTGCTTCAAATCTCTGTATTTATCTGGTCGTTTATGTTGACGATATTGTTATTACCAGCAATGATCCGGATGGTATTAGTAAGTTGAAGCAACATCTCTTTCAGCACTTTCAGACTAAGGATCTGGGCAGATTAAAGTATTTTCTGGGTATTGAGGTCGCTCAGTCTAGCTCAGGTATTGTGATCTCACAACGGAAGTATGCCTTAGATATTCTCGAGGAGACAGGAATGACAGGTTGTAGACCTGTTGACACTCCGATGGATCCGAATACTAAACTTCTGCCAGGACAGGGGGAGCCTCTTAGCGATCCTGCAAGATATAGGCGGTTGGTTGGTAAATTAAATTACCTCACAGTGACTAGACCTGACATTTCCTTTCCTGTGAGTATTGTGAGTCAGCTTATGGATTCTCCCTGTGATAGTCATTGGGATGAAGTTGTCCGCATTCTTCGATATATAAAATCAGCTCCAGGCAAAGGCTTATTGTTTGAGGATCGAGGCCATGAGCAGATCGTTGGATACTCAGATGTTGATTGGGCAGGATCACCTTTTGATAGACGTTCTACGTCTAGATATTGTGTCTTAGGAGGAGGAAATTTGGTGTCTTGGAAGAGCAAGAAACAGAATGTAGTTGCTCGGTCTAGTGCAGAAGCAGAATATCGAGCAATGGCTATGGCGACATGTGAGCTAATTTGGATCAAACAGTTGCTCAAGGAGTTGAAATTTGGTGAGATTAGTCAGACGGGACTTGTGTGTGATAATCAAGTTGCTCTTCATATTGCGTCAAATCCAGTGTTCCATGAGAGAACTAAACACATCGAGATTGACTGTCACTTTGTTAGAGAAAATATACTCTCGGGAGATATTGCTACAAAATTTGTGAAGTCGAATGATCAGCTTGCTGATATTTTCACCAAGTCCCTCACTGGTCCTCGTATTAGTTATATATGTAACAAGCTCAGTACATATGATTTATATGCACCAGCTTAAGGGGGAGTGTTAGTTTGATAGTTAAATAGTAGTAAATAACCCTAATCCCATATGTATTAGGAGTAGGACATGTATTATATATATAGGGCTCATTGTATCATTGTCAATAATTAATCAATAATATTTTCTCCCGTGCTTTCTCATAAATTAAAGGACTTCTCAGAATGCTAAAATAATCTACTGCTAACTGAAATACCTTGGAAGGGAAATTATTACACATGGACCAACAACCAAAGAGGGGATGACAGAGTATGGAGCAGACTTGATAGGGCGATTGCAAATGATGAGTGGATGATGCAAATGGGCACTTGAGTGTAACCTATGGAGAACCATTCATTTCAGACCATAATCCTATGCTTATACCTCTGAGAGAGCCAAGGAACAACATTAAAGTTCCCTTTAGGTCCATCAACATCTAGGCAGATCATGAACAGTTTAATCAAATTGTAGCACAGGGATGGGCCAAAACTATGGCAGTTGGAAAGATGAGGAATGTGTGGCTTAAACTGAAACAACTGAAGCCAGTCTTTAAGCAACTAAACTCAACAGAGTTTAATGGAGTTTCAGGGAAAATTACACAAGCCAGAGAAAATTTGAAAGAGCTTCAAGAAGCAATGCAGAACTATTACTCTGATACTCCAGCTGATCAGGAGTAAGAATGCCTATAGCAATTAGAGAAGTGGTCATTGATAGAGGAAAGTGCACTGCAACAAAAGTCTAGGGCCACTTGGATTAGACTGGGTGATTCAAACAACAAATATTTCACAGCCATAATGAAGGAAAAGAAAACTCAGAAGCAGATTCTTGAGATCAACTCCTTAACAGGTGGTAAACTACAAGAACCAAAAGCAATCAAAGCTGAATTTGTTGACTTTTATAAATCTTTGATGGGAACAACAACATCTAGCTTACCAGCTGTCAATAGATTGGTCATGAGGAATGGTCCTTGCTTATCACATATGCAACAGAAAGATTTGTGTGCCAATGTTACAGAGGCTGAAATCTATGAATGACTGAATGCAATTGGCGATTGTAAAGCCCCAGGGATAGATGGGTTCAATGCTTTGTTTTTCAAGAGATCATGGCCCATTATCAAGAATGGTATCTATGAAGCAGTGAAGGAATTCTTTGATACAGGGACCCTATATAAGGCCATAAATTGTACCACTCTCACCTTGCTACCAAAAGTTACCAATCCAGACAAAGTAAAGGACTATCGACCCATAGCATGTTGCACAATATTGTACAAGTTGATTGCCAAAGTCATAACTGGAAGAATGCAAAAGGTTATGAATCGTATCATCTCTGACTCACAAGCAGGCTTCATTCCCTGGAGAAGAATAGCAGGCAACATAATATTAGCTCATGAGCTGGTTAAGTCATACAACAGGAAGCATATTTCTCCTAGATGCATGATAAAGGTGGATATACAGAAAGCTTATGATTCTGTAGAATGGATATATTTAGAGGTTCTTGAGGGACTGGCTTTCCCTGAGAAGTTTATAAAATGGATAATGGCTTGTGTGACAACAGTTAATTACTCTATCTTGTTAAATGGAGAATCAACAGAGCCTTTTAATGCAGCTAAGGGCTTGAGGCAAGGAGACCCAATGTCACAATTCTTATTTGCTATTGCGATGGAGTATCTGAGTCGACTACTCAAAGGTTTGAAGCAAGATAAACAATTCAAATACCATCCTCGATGTAGCAAGCTTGGTATCACTCACTTGTGTTTTGCAGATGACCTACTACTATTTGCCAGAGGTGACCTAGAATCAGTGCAGAGGCTCCATCACTGTTTCTGGACATTCTCATCTGCCTCAGGATTACATGCTAATTTGTCAAAGAGTGCAGTCTATTGTGGGGCATGGATCCTATGCAAAACGCAGCTGTCATACAAGCTCTTGGTTACACTGAGGGACAATTACCTTTTAAGTACTAGGGGTTCCACTAGACACTAAAAAGCTATCCATTCTTTAGTGGCAACCCCTCATTACTAAATGGTAGCAAAAATAACATCTTGGACAACAAAAAATTTTCCTATGCTGGCAGAGCTCAGTTGGTCCAAACAGTGTTGTTCGGAATACAATCTTATTGGGCTCAGTTGTTTAACTTCTAGTTAAGGTTGTCAAATTAATTGAGGCTTACTGCAGAAGCTACCTGTGGTCTGGTGGAAATGCGCTTACAAAAAAATTATTGCTTGCTTGAGAAAAGGTATGTCTCCCTAAATTTGTAGGGGGACTTAACCTTACTAATATGCAGGTGTGGAATAGTGCTGCAATTGCCAAGACCTACTGGGATCTAACTCATAAGCAAGATAAGCTGTGGATCAAATGGATCCATGCTTACTATGTTAAAAAGCAAAGGATTGGTGATATGAACATCCTTCAGAGTGCAAGCTGGATGTTCGGGAAGATCTTTGAAGCTAAACAAATAATCAATCAACTCCACAGACCACTGGATGAGCAAAAGAGTATAATTAAGCACATATATTTACAACTGATACCAGTTCATCCTAAGATGGATTGCAGATGCTTAATGTTCCAGAACAATGCTAGACCTAAAGCCATATTTACTATGTGGCTACAGAACCATGGTAGATTGCTCACAAAAGATAGGCTGAAGAGATGGGGTCTCCAGATGGATGAGACATGTGTGTTGTGCCAGGCTGATAAGGAAACAAAGGATCACTTATTTGCAGAATGTTCATATGCCAACAGATTATGGAACAGGTTATCTCAATGGGCTCAAATCCACTTCATTGCTCTCAACACTTGGGTACAGTATCTCCAGCTCATCATTCATCACTCAAAGGGGAAGACAGCTTCAGCAAAGCTACTTAAAATGATGTATGCTGAATACATACATGTGCTATGGAGAGAAAGAAATACTCGAATATTTGAGGGTACAAGCAGAGAACACGAAGCACTGGCAAGGGAGGTTGTGGGCATGTGCTACTTTAGGGCAGATAAGAGAGTGAAGAGACTGATACAGAATCTATACTTTTTTTTTTAAAAAAAAAAAAAGAAGAAAAGTAGTCATAGTGTTTTGTTTTGTGCTTAGTTAGATAATACATGTATTGGGTTAGAAGGAACATATTGTTTTTTAGGTCTTGATACTCCTTGTAAAGAACAGCTAGCTGGGAATGCTATGCTATGCTTTGTAATGTTTTCCTTGGTGATTAATAATAATTTTAATTACAAAAAAAAAAAAAGGCCCCCGTGGATTGGAACCCGTCCTTATTTTTCTTCAGATCTCATAACCCCGACTACAATATAATTTAATGCAAGTCCTTAAGTGGGGCCATAATAGGCGTGATCAATTGATTTAGAAGTATCAAGTTCACATGTTGAGGAAGCTGTGGACAATTATTGTTAGATTTTGTCAAGCAGGCAAAAGAAAAAAGTCATACTTGCTTGTCCTCCGTTTCTGGAGTGATACTGCTGCAATAAGTAACTCATGTCTTGATCAGCAAATAACAACTATTTACAGCTATTAACTTTGACAGTATGTCCGTGAATAAGCTATCAGATCATAGTTTCTAAAGTGATGATGAAAGTACGAAAACGATATTATTTCTTTAATCCCGCTGTAGAACAATTAGAAGGTAGAAGAAGTTCAAATAGAGGAAAAGAACTGAAAAAAATAAATTATGCACTATGAACAGATTTTAGCATCTCGTATTGGTACAATGCACTCCGAGTCTGCAAAACAACAGTATCAGTTGTTTCTCATAAACGCAAAGAATAGAAAAAAGACACCTCCACGTGTGTTAGAATAGGCATCATGTTGAGTACTCAACGTCGCATGGAAATTATGGTTCATAGTCCTGCGCATCTGCTTCACCCCTTGGACTAGCCTGATCAACACCAAATGTCCTCTTGCTCATGTTTGCTCGTTGCACTAGCCTAACTAATGCTTCAACCACTTCCGACATAGGTGGCCTGAACTCGGGCTCAGGCTGCCACGAAAAAAAGAGGTACATTGAGATAGTGTTAAGTGATTTAACTAGATTAATGAAAACTAAAAGCAGATCTTTGAAGCTCACTCACTTCCAGTTCGAAATATTACCTGGACACAGAGAGCTATTACATCAGCAAAGCGTGATAGAGATTTAACAGGATAGAGCCCCTCGAGTGCTGGATCAACCATCTTAGCCAGGGCATCAATGTCATGCAGCTGAGGTGTTGCCCATCTAACTAGAGATTGTTCAGATCTTGTTCTACCGCTGCATTAAAAGAACAAAACACATGATGAAAAATTTGAAAAGCTCTATATTCATCTTGTTTCTTGAAGAAATTTAGATAATATCATGGGGTGCTAAATAACATTACCCATCAAAAGGTTTTCGTCCGGTAAGAAGTTCTAACATAACCACTCCGAAGCTGTACACGTCACTCTTTATGGTAAACTGCCCAGACATAGCAACCTCGGGCGCGCCATATCCAGATCCTGTATTATGGTTCAGTGCCTGCGAGAAGAGTTCGATATAAGATTTCAGGAAACTGGTTTTATGATGAAAAATCTATAACAGCTAAAAGGATAGATGCCGGAAATAAGATACCTGCTAAAGACTAGCGGATACTTCTCAGCTTATGAGTCAAATCTTATTTCTAACATGGTAAAGAGTATTCCTTCTTTTTTGATATTCGATAGTTCATTGTAAAGAGTATTCCTTCTATAGAATGTTACCGTGGAAAAATTATATTTAAGATCTGAATAGAATTTCTGTTTACTTTTCTCCAAGGACAGATGAATATCCAAAGAGGATGCAAATACAGGCATATAGGCATGTGCATGAGCTATGTTGCAGGGACTCTCCAAAATGCTGTTGTACAGGTCCCGGATCCTCCAAAAATGCACTACTTTTGGAGGATCCGATTCGCACCCGGCAATATTTTCAGAGAGTCCGAGCAACATAATGCATGAGTACCCTTATGCATGTGCATTAGTCAATCAGAATCCACATTCTTACATTAGAAGATATTGCAACATCCAACAAAAAACACTAAGCAAGGAATCCTAAAGCAAGGAGATCAAGCTACCTGATCTACATCAGCAATAAGACTTGCCAATCCACAGTCTGATAGATGAGGATTGAGTTCTGCATCAAGTAAAATATTTGCAGATTTGATATTCTTGTGAACCACAGACGGTGAACAAACTTCATGCAGATACCTGCAAAGGATGCTTATTTTAGCTAGTCAAGAAACTTGAGAAGAAGACAGAAAAATTAGCATATTCAACATGGTGGCTAAATAATGGCTGGCGAGATACATTCTATTTTTTAATGTTCAGATGATGAATCTTCTTCATGCGCGCCTACTGATGTTTAAGATTCTTTTTTCTTTTGTTGATAAATAACATGTTTAAGAAATATGAACTCTAGTGGCCTTCATAATAAGGCACAAAGTCTGATTAAAACCCAGGGATCAATGGGTGCTTTGTACTGGTTTCCACATGCAACTCCCTACAACCCCCCCCCCCCCCCCCCCAAAAGAAAATAACTACGTTTTAATTAACATTTCATAACATGGTCTTTTCTATTTTATCTCCCCCCTCCACCAAAGAAACTTCATAATTGTCGACTACACATACCAGAAGATCTATGATAGAGAAACACTTCAACCAAAGATACAAAGGAAAAATGAAACTTAGCTACAAGCTCCGTGAACATTATAAAATGGCATCAGATATTTTTTGTAGATCATGAAAACTCACTCTAATGCTCTTGCTGTGCCTAGTGCAATCTTGACTCGGCTATTCCATGTTAGTGGCTTGCTTTCCTCATCTGACAGATGCAGGAAATCATGGAGAGCACCATTTTTGTGGAATTCATAAACCAGCAGGTGCTGCCCATGCTCTGAACAATATCCAACCAGCTCAGTTACATTTGGATGATGCAGCCCGGATATCTCAGAAACTATATCGAGAAAATCTTCAGGATTCTGGAGTGCAGAAGAGTTTATTTTCTTGACAGCAAGAACCTGTGGCATTTCAAAATTAGAAAGGAACTTATGAAGATGGTTCAGTTACACAGGCATAGATTTTAGTATCTTCAAAACCAAAGTTTTGGGCAAACATAACTCTTCAACTAAATAATTTTTTTTGTTATCAAACTGCTCTTTTTTTTTCTTTCTATTCATAGGTATTTTTCTTATCAAACATTTATCTGCCATTTCAACTGTCTTGCTTCATTACCAGCACAAAATCGATTCATGATATGACAACCATATTCAATTAAAGACAAACATTTTCTTTTCATAAGGGAGAAAACATACCTTTCCATCATCAAATTGAGCCCGATAAACACGCCCAAAGGATCCCTCACCAATAAGGTTATCAACACTGAAGCTATCAGTAGCCATCTGTAGGTCCGCAATTGAATATTGTCTAGCATTTATTTTAGCTGTATTGACTTTCTTGGGTGGGACAATTGGTTTTGCTGCTATGTCATCTTCATCAAATGACTTGTGACGTTCAATAGGTGGAGGTCTTAGATTTACTACAGGAGGAGCTTCAAATGTTTTCACACTTGGTGCAGAGGAAGCTTGACTAGTTTTCATCTCTGCAGCCAAAGAAGGACAATGAACAGAAAATCCAGACAGCAAAGGAAACACGAGACTGTAAGTGTTACAAACAGGCAAATGCATGACCAGATTCAGATTAATGAGATACGGATGTGAGATGAGGCTTAAAAGGCATAATTATGAACCCACCAACTGACTGATAAAATTGAGGAACGCAAAGAACTAGAATTTGCAAAGAGATGAATTTGGTTGTTGGCACACAATGGTTTAGAATGGGAAAAATGATTTTTCCAACTATGCACATGAATTCATTTGCTGAGAGTTGCATTTGAATCATTAGTTGTTCTATGAAGGCCAACCAGATTTCTGAAGAGTGTTAGTTTCATAGGAAGTCAAACCATCAAGGGGGCTGACTTATAAATCTTGAGAACAAGCATAGGACCAGATCCACTGAAAGAGAACATAAAACTGAAGTTTCTTTGCTAGCGTTTGGCCATAGATCCCAAATTTATTTTGAAAAATCTGATTTGGGTGAAGTTTGGTTTGAAGATGAAAATGTGTTTGGACATACGTTTTCAAAACATATTTCCCAACTTTATTTTGGAAAAACATGTATATAATTCCCAAGTTTTGGGATTTTGGCCCAAAATCAACAATTGGGATGGTTTTGGAATTTGGTATTTGGGACTTTGCCAAAATGTGGGCAAAATTTATGGCCAAACATGAGTTTTGAAAATAAATCCCAAATTTATTTTGGCAAAACTCATGGCCAAACGGGTCCAAATTTTTATCCCGCTGTCAGCTTCAAAAGGTAAAATCAGAATCTAAACATCAGTTTGGATTCTACAATTAAGTTCTTGGAATTTTTCAGTAACTACAAAATTTGTTTTCTCGGAAGATAGGACCTGTCACATCTGTGCAGTTTTACATTTGATGGTAAAGTTTGTTCCTGTGTTGGTGCTTTTCTTCTATATCAACAGCAGTAGCTGGCTGAGTTTTAACAACTATTAGTAATACACCACTTAAAATCTATGAACAGTAAATAGGTAGTGATCAAGCACAAGGTTAAGGTTGATTCCCAAATTCACTACAGAAAGAGTTCTTTTTATGCAGCAGGTACACCTTCTCAAGCAGTTGAAAGAGGGGCTAATGATACTATGATTGATTGTTATGTTTCATGATTAAATAACAATCACAGAGACCATAACAGGGTCTAATAGGAGTACCTTGTACTTCCTGTGAAGCAAGAGGAGCAAATGGCTGATTATCATGCTTTTCGATGTCCGTCGATGACCGTCTCGATCTCTTCTTGATAACAAAGAATGCTACAATTGCCCCAACAACTAGAATGGATATCACTATGCCTGCAATGGCTCCACCCCCTATGCCTGATTTACCACCACCATCACCACTGCCACCACTACCAGAAGGACTATTGTTGCCTCCAGATTTGTGGTGCCGATCGGGCCTGCTTGCAGGGGGTGTGCCAGGTGGAGGAGGGGGTGCAGGTCCTGAGTTCCATGAATTACCATTTGATCTGTTACAAAAGTGATAAAGGCCTGAATAATCCAGAAACTACTTAAAAAATAAATTTAAAGAATAAAACCAATTACTCCAACATTAGATACTTACTTCACGAACCCTTTCAACTGATCAGGAATCCAGCCTGTAAAACGGTTGTTTTCGACATTCCTAAAGCATAAAGGAATAAGCATGACTTTCAACCGATGCTTTCAACTGAAACTCTATAAATAAGATAAAACATCAGAGATAATATCCAAAAGTAAGCACGGACTCAAAACTCACAGATCGTCAAGAGGAAGATTGGCTAGGACATCAATAGTTCCTGTGAACTGGTTGTTCTGCAAATACCTGCATAATTCAACATGTAAACGTCAACCATTGAAGGATTGCAACCAATTATCTACAAGGATGAAGCAGAAAAATATTATCTCACATTTTGTTCATACTAGTCAGTGACTTGAAGCTTTGAGGAAGATTATCTGTCATCGCATTGAATGAGAAATCCCTGAAGCATAAAGATTAATCAATCAAAAACAATGCGACAAAGAATGATTAGCTAGTCATATTGGGTTTCTAACACTTGGTTTAATAATACATCAAAATGTATTCAGCCACATTACTCAGCTCACTCCATACAGCCACATAACTTTACAGATCAGAACAAGGATCAGAAACTATTTTCATGATATTGACTTTCTATCCCTAGACAACAATAACTCAGATGGGGAAAAAAGAGCTTATGTGAATGAGCTAAGAATGGCATGCTTTGCCCACGACACCTCATAAAAGACCACAAAATAGTAATGTTAAAACACTCAAGAAATGGCATGAGAAGAAGATATAGGCCTTACAATGTGTTGAGAGAAGACAGAGAGTCGAATGCGACAGTCACTTGTCCTTGAATTTGATTATGACTGACATTTCTACAGCCAGATGCAAATATTGCAGAAAGTCATGGACAAGCTTAACCTCAGATAGAAAGCTTACTGCAGGAAAATAAATCACACTCAAATTCAAGCATTTTACATACAAGTATCGGAGGGAAGTCATCTGTGAAATTGAATATGGCAGGCCACCATTAAAACCATTGCCAGCAAGATTCCTGCGTTGCAAGGCACGTTTAAGAAAGATAAGTGAAAAAAAAGGTCTGGAATGACGACAATATACTAATAAGACATACAATCTTTGCACATTCGGAGGCAGCTGATAAGGTAACTGGTTTCCCAAATTGTTATTGCTTATGTCACTGCAAAATCCACAAAGAACAAACATGTGTAAGGATTTGATATAAATCGAAGAGACATCTACGAGAACATTATTGAAGGCCATTTATCTTACAAAGTAGTCACAGATGTAAGACTTGCTAGCTGGTAACCCAGTGAACCAGAGAGTTGAAGACCTGATAACTTGCTGAAGGAAAACGAAAAGTAAGTAGCCATCAGAAATCACCAAGCAAACAATTCCAAGAGGTTGTAAAAACATGATGAAGAAGATAAAGAAGGAAAACAGAAACCACTTATCCAAAAAAAAAAAGGCAATAAGGAAGACAGAAACTCACATTTCAGTAACTTTATTATTGCCTGAGCAAGTAATGCCTTTCCAGGACTCTCCACAAGGATCACCACCATTGGCTGTCCATTTTGTTAGCTGACCAGGTGAATTTAGGGCGCCATACATAACTCTCAGAGCAGAAGCTGAAAATCAAAGAGCTACCAGCAAAGTTAGACTGAAATCCATGGCATATTTGTGTGTCAACAGAATTCTTACAATGTTCAAAAGAAATTGTATATTTTGATTAACGAAAGGAAACTGTTGGACAAACTGTTAATGAATGGTGTATCTACAAGACACATCAACAAGCATAGTAGAAAGCAGTATAGGCCTTAATCAAGCCATTAAGAAGTGAAACATTTTGTATTATCATCGGAACAAAAATCTTTTTAAAGTCTCGTTAAGTTCTTGATCAACTTTAACCTCCCTGTTACGTTGCAGCCCACCCCTACTACCCTGTCCCTTCCAAGCAGCAGAAATAAAATCTTCTGGAGTAATGCTTAGCCGAAAAAAGTAAATCAGTCAATCCAGAATGAATGAAGGTAATAATGCAAATATTCAACAATATAACAAACCCACCGACAAGACCACAATGCATACAATAACGAAACACAATAAGAATCCAAGAGAGCTTCCTCTAACTGATTTATGCCTTGATTGACAAGAAACTTTTCGGTTTTACGTATCTAAGACATAAGACAATATATTCAGGTGAAAAAAGTAACGAATTCGCAACGGTTGCTGAGTTCAGTCTTAGCTATTACTTTCCAAATCAAGCAGTCTTCATTAATGATTCATCAGCTGAGTAAGAATATACACAAACAGATAGAGAATAAATAAAAATGATTAAAAGGAATGAGAGCATAGCTGACCGTCATTCGGATCTGTGTCGGCAATGGTATAGCTAGGACCATAGAACAGAATGCTGATGAGTAGCGGCAGCGCCACCACCGGCAGCAGCTGTAACCTCGTCATTACGTCGGCGTTTTCTCCTCCTCCGCCTCCTCCGTCACAGTCCTCAAAGAGTCTCTCTCCACCAGCACTACCAAGGCAACAGTCACACGAAAACCCAGGTTTCAGCTCGGGAACAGAAAGGCTTTGTCAGAACTTTCCTATTTTTATTTCGGCTAATTTCCTTTATAAAATTATTAGGAGTAGTTTATAAATAAATAATTAAAAAAAAGAGTTTCTAGGAATAGGAAAAAAAAAATAGTGAAAAAAGAGATGAGGTGGTTGGGTGGGGAGAGGTCGTAGCCATTCAAGAGAAAGCTGGCAGGCACGATCTGCTAGAAGAATCCAAAGCCACATAACTCTCTGCCTTTTCCTATTATTTTTATTTCATATTTAGAATTTAATTGGAATATATTTCTGTATACAGCTACAGAGCTACAGTCTGAGATTGACATACCCATCAGCTCTTTTGGGTTTAATCTAGCACTCGAATTAAACTATTTCAATTTAATTGCTTTTGAGACTATTAAATAATTTCAAAACACTAATCAATTTTGTATTCCAAACCAGTTTTATTTGATAGAAATGCTACTCGTATATTTCTATATTTGGCATTTATTTAAGGGTACGGCAGTAAATAAAGACATATGATTGCTTCATAAAGTGGGCAGCTATAAGTTTCCATTAAATATTGGAGTGAGTGTCTTTTTGTTTCAAGTATCGGTAAATAAATACACTACTACAGTAGTTTTTTATAGATACATACAGTTGTAGTACAAATACAAAGTGAAAAAGAAAAAAGAAAGAAAGGAAAAACAAAAGGGAGCAAGTCACGGCCAATCCGTTAAAGTGGGATTTGTTTGTATCTCTTGTGAGCTTTCGTCTTTACCAACTAGACATTCATCTACATGCTCTCGCTCGTTTCCAGTTTGTTAGAGTGGATTTTGCAGGTGGTCAATAAATCTTAAATCAGAGTATTAATATCAAATAAATAGATGTATTTGCACATATATTTTTTAATTTAGCTGTAGTTAATTAATGCATATTTTTATATGTTACTCCATATAATTTAGTGTAACCAAACACTTTAGTTTTTAGTTTTACATATTCTAGTATGCAAAAAATGGAGTATATATTTTTTGTCAAGATGAAAGTAGAATATGACAAATAAAGTAGTGGTGTGGAGTAGTATCTTTTTTGTCAAGAGAAACATTCTTTTCTATTTTGTTCAAGAAACGCGTTCATATAGTAGTAATTTATTCAACGTTGAAAAAATCACTCTAATTTGGTGAAATGGCAATTATATTGTACTGATTAGAGTACCAATAGATAACAGCTGATAGATGTGCTTGTTTTAATTTCTAACAAACAAAATCTAATGACTGACTTACTATTTGAATGTGACGTGTATTCATATCTATATAGCGATTTTTCTTGTTGGGAGATAGACTGAATTGCAAGTTTTTCTCAAGTAAGTTTCAAGTTTTAAAGCATTTGAAGTGGGGTTCTCGTTAACTTTTTTATTTTATCATTTTAACAAAGGAAAAATAAATGATCGGAACCCCATGAAAGATGGCCGCTTGGCAGTAAAAGGAGAACATTTTTCACATCAAAATTAGGTAGACGTGATTCCTTTAAGAAATGGTCTCTTTCTTTGCAACCAAAACCTTGCAATTACTCAACTATCCACTTCTTCTTTTTTTCCCTCGTTTCTTTCAAGTTTAATGTTCAATCTCTGCCCAACATGATTTAATACTCCGTCCAATACCAAATATTGGCCGTTTCGGTAAGTTCAATTTGTATAAAAACATATTTAGCAATTGGTTCTTCTTAAAAAAAACATGATATATTTTTTTTTAATTCACTCTTACTCAATTAGTGGCGTTTTAATCATGTCGGATATTTAAACGAGAAATACTCCCTCCGGTCCACAATAATTGACCTTTTGGCCTTTTTATTTTAGTTCAAAATGAGTATCTTTTTACATAATCAATAAGGAGTTAATTTAATTTCTAAATTTGTCCTTATTTACATATCCCAATGTGTCATGTTAACCATATGTAAATTTTAATTAAAATTAATTTAGTTAAAGTGTCTCTTTTTTTTTGTAGGATTTGTAGGAGTTAATAGTTTTTCTTAAGAGTGTGTCATAGGCCAAAAAGTCACTTATTATGGACAACAAAGAATAAAGGGTATCTTAAATACATACTTTTATGATTGGGGCTACTCTCTCCGTTCCCTTTATTACTTATCACTCTTTTGTTATTTGTCACTTGCATGCAACTTAAAGAAAACATTAGTTAAAAAAGATATTTATTCAGATTTATTCTCTGATCTTAATAATTTTTTACTACTTCCTGCTTTCGTATTGTATAGGGTTAAAATTGGACCTACCCGATTTTGTTATTTGATCGAGATCAGGAAATTGCATTGAAGGTCGGCCTCGTAGTGGATCAGACCAGAGCACGAAGACAAGGTATCGAGTTCGAGAATCGAGGTGCCTGTCGAGATCGAGGTCAGCAGCGATCGAGACCAAATATGGCAAACTTCGAGCAAAGCGCAATAATGGAAAATCGAGATATCTGTGACCGGTCGAAGATCACAGCGAAAATACGGAACATATCAAATCAAGGGCAATTGTTTAGGCTAATCATGGGATTTACTTCTGTAATTAGAATTGTACCATAGATAGGATTTCTCTACTATATAAAGAGGGTTCTAATCATTTTGTAGATACCTTACATCCACGCATATCAAAGCAATACAATATTCTCTCTTTAATTTACACTCTCTTGTTCATCAGCTTGCCATATCTTTTACTATTCTTGCATCAACTAGCTCGAGGGCTGAATTACGTTGTAATACTGGTTTGCATTATCTTATTGTCAATTTTCATTACTAATTTTTACATTTATCGATTGGTATTAGGTGAAATCAGGTGTCCTTAAAAATACATTATAAGTTTAATTGTTATCCAGTTTTTAGGGTAAACGATTTGGTGCCAACCGTGGGGCTAAGGATAATAGTCATTGCCTAGTATTAATTCTCGTAACACACGCTACTTTACGCTTGTTCTTGTAAGTGTGTTTGATTTCAGGAATCAACATGTCAAACTCTCAAGTAGCACTCACTCACACCGACAAAGGCCTTGGTTTTCATGGCAAGAACGAAAATATAGTCGTCCCGGAAAATGGACTACCTCCAGTCAACCCCGATGGACCACAGGCCGCAGACCCAGTCGATGCCAACTCCCATATTGCCATTAATGGGAATTTGGGCGTCGACCCTGGAAATAGTGTCCGCAGAGATGACCGAGCAGCCGATCAGAACGCACAGAGCGGTGACGAAGGCGAAATTAGCCTTCGAATGATATTCGAAATGTTGCGGACTCAACAAGCTGCGATAGCGCAACTCCAAAATCAGAATCGAGCACCAAGCAAAATTGAGCTCGAAACATCACAAGAAGTCGTTCAAAGAATCGAACCTATACCGGAGAAATCAAACGCCAATGAATCGGGGACTGACCCCGCCATTATGAAGATGCTCGAGGAGCTAACTAAACGGATCGAATCGGGTGAAAAGAAAATCCAGGTTAATGACAAAAAGGTAGAAATGTACAACTCACGAGTTGACCAAATACGGGGGCACCCCCGATTCTAAAGGGTTAGGATTCGAAGAAGTTCATGCACAAGCATTTCCCTCTAAGTGCGGCTCCGAAGCCCATTCCTAAGAAATTCCGTATGCCAGAAATTCCCAAATACAATGGGAGCACCGACCCTAATGAGCACATTACTTCTTACACATGCGCAATAAAGGGGAATGGCTTAGAAGATGATGAAATTGAATCCGTTCTATTAAAATAATTTGGAGAAACTTTATCGTAGGGTGTCATGATATGGTATCACAACTTACCACCCAACTCTATTGATTCGTTTTCTATGCTCGCAGATTCTTTTGGGAAAGCCCACGCCGGAGCCATTAAAGTTGCAACAAGGAAATCAAATCTCTTCAAGATAAGACAGAAGGATAACGAAATGCTCAGGGAATTCGTATCTTGGTTCCAAACGGAGAGAATAGATTTGCCTTCAGTCACCGACGACTGGGCTGTTCAAGCTTTTATACAAGGTCTCAACACTTGGAGCTCCATAGCTCCACAACAGTTGAAGCAAAATTTGATCGAATACCCAGCTGTCACTTGGGTCGATGTTCGCAATCGGTATCAGTCGAAGATTAGGTTCGAAGATGATCAACTGGGAACTCCAATTGGTTTGATTTATCCCAATAGGCATGTGGACAGATTTAAAGGGGACGTCGATCAGAAACCACGATCGAATAGAGATAGATACCAGCCATACAGTGAAGATCAAAGAAATAACGGGTCCAAACGCAACTCCATACGGAATGATAGAAGGAATGATCGGGGGCAGATGTTACACCCCATGTTTTCATACGTAAAAGTATGCCATAAGAAAATTTATGGAAGCTCGGGAAATGAGATGTTACACCCCGCATTTTCATACGTTAAAGTTTTGTCTTCAGTTAATTGACGTAGACTAGGGGATGAGATTTTCTTGAGATTATAAGCATTTATGCTATTTATAACAAGCAATAAGTAAGTGTCATGAAAGATAAAGGGTAAACGAATCAAAGAAAATGAGTTTCGTTGAAGGTTGTTGATTTGGGATAAAATACGGTCCAAGATATAATACCCCGTATTTATGGACTAGTGTCATACAAGGCATTATATGACTATGATAGTAAGGTGTACAATGTATGTTAAAAGTGAATAGTATTTTAAGTAAGTTGAGATAATTCTTAATTATGTGTGTAACTGGTTAATTATTGGATAATGGGATTACCTAATTAATTAAGGATATATTGGATAAGGATTTAATTTCATTAGGTGGCAGCCCCCCCCCCCTTCAAACTAAGTGACTCTTGCCTTTACTATTGAATTAAGAAGACACTTGGACAATATCCTAATCCATTCCATGCAAACACGTAAAAAGTGGACTTTGTATTAGTCACCCTACACTTTGTCTTGAATATCAAAATTCAATTTGGAGGAGATTTAGAATTTCATAGGAGACTTCATATTACAACAACAACTCATTCATAAGAGATTAGATGATTAGCAGCGTGATTTTGTTGCAAAAATTATACGAGACTACGTAATGTTATAGCAACGGGATCTTGCGATTCTAAGGGAGTACGGTGCAATCTTTCTCAAGAATATCATACGGATTTTCCCCTACTTCGATCCCCCGTCAAGTGTTTTCTTAGAAGATGTGTGTTAGAGGAATTGTCAAGAGAATTGGCTCAGGTATGTTAAGGCTATCCCTTCTT